GAACCTCGTGACACACATGGTGTGTCATGATTGCGTCTCTAGGCGTGTTTTATCAGAATGATTGGCTTTTCTTTCATGTTCTAATGTTGTCAAAACATGTTCTCGGTGACGGAAGATGCTTACCTCATAAGCGACTAAAAAAGGGTGGGAAATTTTTGATGATTTACTGGTGAAATGCCATAAAATGATGCGGAGATGTAGATGTAGATGTAGAGTACGACGGTCCACAAGGTATTAAGAAGTGCGGAATTGCACTGATTGAACTCCTGAATAGCATGGTCGTATGTAGCAGAACTTCCGCGAGGTCAGTTTTTCGTGGACATGCCGAGAAATCCGTTTCGCTGAGCTGTTGTAACTAATAACTCAGGAAGAAAACGTCTTATCGAATTAGATTATTTCTTTACTTTGCAATTCTTCCATATCCTATATTCGTAACGATGCCGTGGAATTGGTGGGCTGGTCGACATCCGAATCATATTTGTTCGAATCCACATCTAAGACGTCTCTGAGGGCTTGCTCTTCCCTTTCAGCGGTCAACTGTGGTGCGACTATCTTTGTGCTTGCTTCATATTGCCTCTTGTAACCCTTTGACTGTAACTAACAATACCACTACTTTTCCTAGTGGGAAAAAATCGCGCTCACTTACCTATTCATGGCCCGTCTCGCCTTTGAGGGACATTTTGCGAACTCAGGTCCACCGTGCGAAGAGGGAGGTGACCGATCCTCGCAGCCCTCCTTTGTCCCGAACGACTCCCCTGACACATTACCCATTCACGATTGCTGCAACAGGGCACATCGTTGTTGGGGATTTCTAAATGAGGGGGGGGGTCGTATCTGGTCGCTGGGAGAGGTGGGGTCGTATTTGGGCCAATAAAAACTTATTTTGATGCTTGATTATTCTTGTTCCACGGACGTTGCAAGGGGGGGATACTTTTCCTAGAAGGTTGCTGGCTTTCTGACTTTTCGTGATTCGTGATTTTACCCGTTCCATGTGTACTATATACCTCCTCCCCCTGGCCCGACAACTCGATGGGGGTGGGGGGAACTAGGGGGTCGTACCAACTCCTTAAAGAAAAGGGGGGGGGTCGCACGGACTCTGCCTTGGCTGCAACTTTGAATGGCCAAGATTCAGGCTTTGGCGCTTCCATCAGTGTTCGCAAACTGGGAACTAAATGAAGGTATCAAAGTGTGACCTCAGAATTTGGCAAAACCAGTTAAAATCGAGTACAACAGCCTTCGAAATTATCTAATTACTATGGTACCTTTTATACAGTGTTCTGTAGTGCAAGAATATTCATGTCAGTAGATCTATCCTATAAATGCTCGGAAAAGCTGCGAATGTCCATGGATTACAGTCTTGTTCGCTGCGGATGTTGGTTCGTGTCAAGATGGGGGGGGGGGGGGGAGGGAAACGGTTTTGGCACAGCTACAAGCCATATTTTTTTTCCTTTTTTATTTTAGCAAGTCGACCTACTGTACAGGGTCAATCCGGGAACGTTGATTAGGCGGCCAAGGGTCGGGACGCGCTCGCGACAACTGGTTTCCAGGCTAATTTTGGCCATTCTCCTATAATTTTCCTGTGTTTTCTAATATTTTTTTCAAGGATGTTGTTAATTGTCCTTTAATGGAGTACTTAGGATGGAAAGTCTTTTTTTGTGTAATGGGATCATTTTGCGATTTTTTTCAGGCTATTTGTTCAGTTGTCTGCTCAACTGTTCAATTGTACGCAAAAATCAGAGGAATCTCAATCATAATTTACCTTGTGAAGACAAGGAACAACTAATCTTGAGAAAAGCAGCCAAAACAGTGTAAATTAGGGAGAAAATGGCTAAAATAGGCTGGAAACAGCTGATCGCCGCGCTCGTGACACGTCGAAGCCGCGTCGCGAGCCTTGACCGCCTAATCTAGTGCCCGGATGATGACTACAGTTCGCACTAGTCGTTTCCCACCGACTGTTGTCGCTAACTCGCTTTAACAACTGTTTGGCAGCTCGCCAATCCCAGCCTCGACGAACAAGAATGTGCTGCATGAAGGTGATAGGGGATAGGAGTTGCGAGTGCCGCCGTTTACCACCAATCTTATTCGCTTTGGTTCAGCTCATTTGTCAAAGGAGACACCTCAATTCTCGGGATGGCTTTCTGTCTAAATGATACTGCGGTTGCAGACATTTTTGGCCTTTCTCAACTAAAGCCGAGCAGCTTTTGTTCACACCATTGTTCATAGACCAGGAGAACTTTTCATTTCCCTAGCACAACATTGTAGATTCAAAACCTTTCCTCTTATCATGAAAATACGATGTGATATCTTATTCCTATCGAAAGGAAAAGTCGGGCAATTAGAACTTTTCGGAATCCCATAACCTGTGAGATACTCGACGAATACCTCGAAAATCCGAGCAACTAGGTCATTTTGGCTTGATTCTTGTCTGGTTTGGCGAATTTATTATTTTTGCTTTTTGGACTATTCGATTTTTTTCTTGTAGCTGGTTTCTGTTTGTCTTTGTCTGGTAACAGAAAATACGCGATAATGAAAGGGATCGGTCAAACAAACATGAAAAACGAGGGAAAAACTTGCGGTGGCATCATTGTGACTTCAGATTGAGCGTAGCGGAGTTTTTCATGACATGAAAGGGAGTTTGTCTATTGTTCATAGTAAAGTTTGTGTTGACGTGCGAACTAGCATTTACCCTATCTTCCCTACCTTCTTGGATATAAGGCGCATTCGTGAAAGTCGCACGCGACATCGCTTGCGAAAAGTTCGCAAACACAGAACAGTTTTCCCTCTTCTTTGCATACTTTGATTTTCCAAATGGTTTTCAAAACCTTTATCTGATGTGAGTCATTAACATGGATAAGAAGCAATTTAAAAAAAACACGCAAAATTAATGGGAGAAAGAGATATCGCAGCGTTCGAAACGACAGTGCACCTTATACTCCAGAACATCTTACTATGCATGAACGGCAACGTCTGTCTGTCTGTCTGTCTGCCTGTCTGCTTGCTTGTCTGTCTGTCTGTCTGTCTGTCTGTCTGTCTGTCTGTCTGTCTGTCTGTCTGTCTGTCTGTCTGTCTGTCTGTCTGTCTGTCTGTCTGTCTGTCTGTCTGTCTGTCTGCCTGCCTGTCCGTCTCCTGTCGGAAATTCGGCAAACACATGAGAATAATCTGAGGGGACCGTGTCAAGGGTGGGATGGGTAAGGCATGGGCTAAGACAGGCAATTAATCAGGCAATTAATCGGCGGTCGAAATGAGAAAGACGCACCCATTGGGCGGAATGTGCTATATATGTGTGGCCAATCCGATAGGGTATAGGGTAACAAATATTCCATGGGACGCATCCTCAAACAAGGCCGACCACTACCATACCATTCTGCGACACAGTGAATGTCCGTCTTCATAATTCCTTCAAAATTTACTAACAACTGGTAGTGGCAAAACTTAGGGACGAGATGGATAAAGTAACAAAACACTAATGATTGGGTGGAAGTAAATGAAAGTGTGGAAGCATGTTGCCACTCGCGATATTACAAGAAGCTAGACTTTTTTCTCGGTGGAAGAAGAGCTTGAATAAAGTGCCAAATATGGCCGACCGCGCAAATCGAGGCAGTCTATGGGTATGAAAAAAATTTTTTCTCAATCAACGAGTAGCTGCAAAGAACTGTGGTAGTATCCTTTGTACATCCATGTCCGAAGAGAGTATCTGGATGACTTTTACTTAAGACAGGAAGGTTGCATAGGAAATCGAATCAAGGTCGAACATGGCGAATGTAGGCCATGGACGTATCGGTATCGCTCACAGCGTTGTTTCACGTGCATGGAGAGCGTTCCGAACCTTTGGTACTGCTGTCCGAAGACGAGGAGGTGGCCGACCAAGGACAACTACACCAAGGGACGACCGCTACATTGTGCAGCAGGCAAGAAGAGATCCTCGTCAGTCGGCTTCGGCTATTGCAACGACGTTTAACAGGACTCTAGGGCAAGCCATCTCACGCACTACAGTGGCAAGACGACTGCATGGTGGTGGTCTCTTCGCCCGACGACCGTTACGTTGTGTTCCTTTGACCCCCGCGCATCGGCGAGGCGAGACCGTTTACGGTGGTGCCAGGAGCATGGCGAATGGACCGATGAGGAATGGAGCCGTGTGCTCTTTTCGGATGAGAGCAGGTTCAGTCTGAGCAGTGATTCTGGACGCACCCTCATATGGCGAGAGGTGGGAACACAACTCCCCGGAAACATTGTCGAACGTGATCGTACTGGTGGTCGAGGTGTTATGGTATGGGGAGGCATCATGTTGCATGGCCGTACTGACCTCCAGATTTTTGAGCATGGAACCCTCACCAGTCAGCGTTACTGCGACGAGGTTCTCCTACATCATGTCCGTCTTTTCAGAGCTGCAATCGGCCCTGACTTCATTTTCATGGATGACAATGCGCGAGAACAGCACAGGTGGAGGAGCTTCTAGAACGAGAACGAATGGAGTGGCCCGCCCGTTCCCCCGACCTAAATCCCATCGAGCACGTGTGGGATGCACTGGGTAGACGCATTGCAGCACGACCAAATGCACCAATGACGATCCAGCAATTGTCAAATGCACTGATTGAGGAGTGGAATGCCCTGCCCCAGGAACTCATTACCAACCTCGTGGAGAGTATGGGATCGCGGTGCAGAGCATGTATTGCTGTCCGTGGTGATCACACACCCTATTAGGATCCGTGTAACTTCTTTTGTAGTACCAGGATAAATCGTGAAGACTTATGTGTAATCGACATGGTTGAATAAAAATGTCATAACAATTATTCCGAGTTTCTGTCAGTTGCTTTCTGTACAATATCGTTAAGGTTCTCTCTTGATATGATATGAATTTCATCGAGCTATGTTGTCTGGCAGAGGCACAGTGATCGAAAGTTGCTTTCGTCCCTAAGTTTTGCACACCAGTGTATGTAGAAACACTGTTCTTCCAGGTAACTGGGAAGTGCTGCCATTAGAAATGACTTGCGATTTCTGAGATGGTCCTACTGCATATTCTCCTGATCGGACTGCTTTCAGGAACCGAGAGCAAGGTAAAACCATGCAAATACGTCATTTCACAGACACCCCTTACAACTGCAGACTGGCAAAGTCATGCCACTGGAATCACATTTCCGAAAATTAGTTGTTTTGCAGAAATCTCAGAAGAAACCACTTGGCGACGGTCTCATTGCGTTCACACCGATCTCACTGAATAGAGCTCGATTTCTTAGTTATCAACATAGCCCATTAAGGCGCTTACCAGCGAGAGGGGAATCGAGGAAGCCAATCGGTCCAGGTGTTTTTCTATTTTCATGCAAACATCTCCTTTGCAAAAACTGTAATCAAGCACCAGCTAATGGATCTTTATGAAAGAGCGCGTCCTGTCTTGGAAGCTTGAAAACTACGGCCCTTTCTTCCTCAACATTTCCTTTTCTAGTACGCCCCCGCCCAACTTCTTTCTTCGTCTACTGTCCTCCTAGATCCCTACCAACTCTCAGGGTTTTTTTCCAAAATTTCCCAGTTTCCCCCGTCGCAACTGCCGTCGGCATCCAGCAGGGGAGGTGGAGGAGGAGGGAGGGGGAGTAAATAGCGGCAAACTGCTCCGTGTGACTATGTTAAGGAGTATGTATAAATTTAAAGAACTTTTAATTATATATTGTGATTTACTGGTAGACGATATGTTCCACTTGCTGCAGCTTTTTTATAGCAGCGCCTCTACTCATTTGTGGAGAAGGTGTTCATGGGAGTTGTCATGAAATATCCATTCAACGGAAGGATTTTCGCCAGTCATCGTGAAAAAGACCCGGAATGTTTGCAGTACGTCACAGTGGTGAGTTCACCTTACTACTCAGATTGTCCAGTAGCCACACTCGTAATCATAGCCAAACGCGCTGTACTTCGCCCTTTCACTTCTGGTTCTTCTCTACCGCTGAGAGGGGTTTTCATTAGAAGACTGGTATTGACGCAAGTGCTACACACGGAAGATAGCGTGAGCGGAGCGTGGAACGGTACCAGGATATCACTACCCACATGCACTCCATTCCCATGCACTTTTGAGCGTAGAAAGTGGCACGCTCCTGAAGCTGCGGAGCCATCCGCCTCGCACAAGGTATGGACCGTTTTCGGAGGTGAGTGCGCCGTTGTCCTTCAGTGAGCGAGGCAGGAACTCACAATCATGAAGATTTCTCAGCGCCATTATTGTAGGGTTTTCATGAGGGGATGAGAACGAATCCCTCGACATTTGCTGTACCTCTGAAATCGCTGTTATGACAGAATAGTGATGCAAGAGCAGCTAGGGCTGGGAGCAGGAGTTCGACCCTCGAAACCTCAAAGCATTTAGTTTTCCTTAGGATTTTCTGTATCTTAAAGTTCACCTCAGATAATTTCAGAGAACGCTTCCGAAGTTCTTAACGTCTCTACACGGTCAGTGTGGAGTGTGGAGTAAAACGGTCAGATCTTCTTCTTACCCAACATTTTCCTGTCTCCATTTCTCTTACCCATGCAGAGAGACATTTCAGAACTCAGTTTCGTTGGTAACGGAGTTTCACCTTCGAATAGTAGTCTCGTTCGGCTACGAGTACTTGACTGAAGAAGACAAAATATACGATCTCACATGTGCTTATTCGCCAAAGAATGTCTCCGTTGGGGCTTACTATGACACGATGTAGGTTTCTAAAAAAGTGTTTTCCCGCAGTTGAATTGAAAAAAAATCAAGGACGTGAGAAAGTTAGTAACTGTCTTCTTGGGAAGCCAGTTCTTTTGATTCTGGATTGACGCCCGTGAATTATGACGGTGTGGTTAGAGAATACCAAAGATTCCTCTCCGTAAGAGGTATGAACAGTTTTTTTTGCTACGGACCTTGCTGCGTGTCCAGGAGTGGGTTAGGAGCGGTGCTAGCTTATTCCCAGCAATTTTTCAACCGATTGTTGTCGCATGCCCTCTTCAATTATAGGTGGAGAACGGGCTGGTGTCGCGCTAAACCCAGCCTTCGCATACATGCCCCAGTATCCGCAGAGAACAAGGCTCATGACAGGCAACTTTTCATTAACCATATGTTTAACCCGATGCCGGTTCCACAAAAGGGTCTTCGAAAATTTTTCTATGAATGGCACCACGATCGAAAAAAACATCAAGCAGCGCAGGGGAAGGGCATCACTGCCATTAGAACTTCCCACCACTGTTTCGCTCGCTTCGCAGGAGGAGGCACAGTCTTATTGTTAGAAAGCAAGTCCCGATCTGTACACCCTAGGCCACTGTGGAAGACTGCGTCATTCTCGACACATCCAAAGAGGGTCCACTGGTTAGCACCCGTAGTCTTGCCATGATGCTCCGATGTAGCTATCCAACTATCCTGACATGCCTTCACGCCCCATTCTACTGAGGTATTCAATAATTAGACTCCGCCTTCTGTTCTCAGTGTAAGTTTCTGCTCACTGGTAATGGAAGTGAAGTTCACTGCAATACCATTTCACATCGTGGCGTGGAATTACCTGGAGGAGACCCGTCTGCGTAAGCCAAATTGAACATGCTTCTTGAGAAGGCCTTCCTCTGTTGCCTCAGGGGGGAATGCAGCGCCAAGGGAAAGGACATGATTTTCTCACTGACGGACGCAGTGCTACCGTCCGCGCCACCCAGTTCCAGAAGCCTGCGAGAACTGTTTGAGAAAAGCAGATGATACGGATTCGGTGACCCACCTCCTTCACGGTGAGC